ATCAGGGAGCCGCTACTAATATGCAGGGCATTGAAACCACTTTCGAATGTGCGCTCTCATTTTACGTTCACTTTCGAGATTTGCGATCACACGGACTCTATACTACGGACCAGTACTGCCGCTAACACACATTTTACAAGATTAGATATTTGTCAGTGGTGCTCAGTATCTGCAAATCATTCGCCATTGTCCAATCAGCCATCTCTCCTTACTCTGTGTATGTGGTAAGTGAACTTTCATGTACTATAATGTAACAGTCTACCGCTAGCAAGCGGCTAACCATGACCCTTTAGTGGCTCCATAGAACGCGTTATTTGTTTTCCGTACCTTTCTGCATACGGATTCACGCTTCGGGCACACCCCCTAACCCCCCATCAGCCACCCATGCCCATCCCGCCCATAATGAAATTAAGATGAAGCAGTACTAAGGGATTTTTTATGCTGTATTAGTTAGAACTAAAGTGTATGTAACTAAAACCATCGACAGATGCTAGTCTGGGTCAAATGATGTGTTTGTGCTCTAAACTGCATAGTGACTAAATTTAGTCTGAAGCTGAGCTCAATTAAAAAAGGAAATTGCACTGGAAAGTTTATTTCATGGTCTTGCCATCATTAAAACCATGCTTCACTTATCTCTTTATTTAATATAAAGAGTAAATCAGCAGTAAAAAACATTTACGTAAAGATTTTCATTATCCAGAGGGTGTGAGTATATCAAAGCATCATCCAGCACATCCCTCGCTCCAGTCGTTGACGGTTGTGGGGTAAGAGGGTTGACTGGGTGTAGAAGGCTCAGCTGGGGCAAATCCTGGAGGTCTCATCCACTCGAGTCAGAAGCAAAGTGATGTGGCACATGCAGAAGCAGGCTGCGCTGGCTTTTAAGAGCCAGAACTTTTTAAGTGCCAGAACTGTCCCCATTCCCCTCGTACACACACACACACACACACACACAGCTCTCCAGCACTAAGGAAAATTAAGAAGGACTGGTGTGTTAAAATGTATTATTAGAACCAAACCAGAATGGACAGGCCGTTTGGAGTGGAGATGAGAGTTAACATGCATCAGAGGTTATTTAGGGGGGAGTAAACGGCACTGAATTATGCCTGCGCTGCGTGTTGGGGAAATGATTGGATATGGACATAGCAATTAATTTGTGCATGCAGTTTAGAGATTGAAGGTTTGTTGTATGTAGCTTCAAACATCTTTCCCTCTCAAAATGTTTGAATACATCAGAAGTCATTTATAATTTAGCACTATTTAAAACTTATTTAGAATCTCACATTTTGGTATACCCGTGGGCTGGAGTTCATTTGTGGTTAAATATTTGATAGTCATTTGTTAGAATAATTACTTTTTTGGTTTATGCCCTTTCCCCTACAGCTTGAAGTGATATATTTAGTTCTGTGAGCTGCATATGTCCCCTCAAAAATGGTGCACCTGTTCATTTTCATTTGTGCTTTTTAACTCGTGTTTTTATTATGAAATGGTCTGATAGTTTTTGGAAGTTTCAGAGTTAATCAAAGTGCCACAGAATCCTGCTCCTCTCTCCAAGCACAAAGTGCTCAGCAGAAAGTTATGGAGATAGGAGCATGCGGCAGTTAGCGGCCATGCGAGTGAGCTCTTGTGAAGTGGACCTAGAGAAAGTCTGTCCTGTCGTTTTTTTTTATCTGTGTCCCATTTTCCCCACATGACTGAATATTTTAAGGTGAGTTACTTTTAGAGTAAAGTAGTTTTTAAAATGTTTCAGTGTATTTCCAGCTGTCAGATACAGATAAAATACGGAAGTGAGGTCAAAAAACTATTGTCAAATTAATTTATTTTTAACCGTTAAAGTGAGACCACCATGATAAACTCACTCCTAATTAATGTTACTGCTTGAATTTGTTGTTGAATAGTATAAAAATAACACATAATGGCACTTACGAAGTGTAATGATCTAAAAAAAAAAAAAAAGCCTTCTTTTTATAAATACAAACTACCAAGCTTTAGGAACTGGATTATGTATAAATCTCAAAAATCCCAACAGATGTAATTTGCACTGATTTAAAAAATATGAATAAATAGACATAAAAGTTAAATTGAAAAATTAAGCATGTGATGTGACTTTCAGATATGCATTAATAGATTTTATAACCATGGTTTTATATTCATTACTATTCATTAGAATAAAGTTTATTTTTACTGTTGCAATGCCATTTAATACAGAAACAACACCTAATAAAAATGTATATATAAAAATAGTATGTAAGGTAAGTTTGCATGTTTTAGGTAAAATGAGCATTTAAATAGAAGTATTGTTGTTATTATTCCTGTTTAAATCTGAATGCACAGTGATTTAAAATAAAGTATGCATTGCTGAAATGTCAGCAGAGCCATTCAGTCATATCTTTCACTGTGTTAAACCCATTTTTCCTTCAGTGCATCAATTGTTCTAATTCAGAAATGTGTTAGGAATATTTTGATTTTAAAGACTTAGAGCTTCTGCCTTTTTAAAAATTGGTTTATATATATAATTGCTAATAGGAACACACTTCTGGATATGTTTAATCTCCACTGCCGGTAAAAGAAAAAGGAGGACAAATCAAGTTGAGGTTGGTTGTTAAACTATTCAAATGAAAACATAAATTGTACAATCTTTGTCATTCTGTCAAAACGTAAAAAAGCAGAAGTGCCAGGGAAATATATGTTCTCATTCCTTTTTCCTTTCAACAGAAAGTTAAATTACATTGCATAAGACACTTTTTTTGTCTCGATAGTTTTCTGTCGTCCCGTTTCTTTTTTGGAAACTGAAGATGTTTTCTCTTTTTATGTTAAAATAATAAATGTAAAATAGCACTTAGCCTATATGTTAAAAAAAAAGTGACGTTTCCATTTTCCATGATGCACAGTGAAATGTCATTCAGCCCTTGTCATATTGTGGTTGTTTGTTTCTCTGTTTGTGATGCCTAATGAGCCTTTTACTTATTTTATTCATTTGCTTTGTCTTTTATTATAACAGTGTTTACACTACTAAATTACAGTAAATGCATCTGCAATAAATAACCATAAAAAAATAAATGTATTAAAATTTTGGGTAACAACCTTTTAATTTTGTTGCTAGTACAAAGCAATTGTTCTCAGAATTCAGTATCATAAAATAATTTTCATATCATAGCATTTTTTTAAAATGTATTTCTATAAATGCATTAAAAAAAAAATTTTTATTTATTTGTCTGAGGTCTCACAAAACATGTAATATTAATGTCTCTCTTTTTTTTTTACATCTCTCATAATAAATATGAGATTCATACCTTTTTTCCACCGCCATGGTCTTTTTTGTGATTTGTGAGTGTCATCTTAGTAGTGGTCAGATAGAAAAATCACACCATAGAAAGTAACTTGCATGCAAACCCAGACCAGACCATTGCTTTTTTCTATTCTGACTTTTTTCCCCCTGACTTTTGCTTTGATTTTTATTTTTTTTTACCATATTTTATTTATGTTTTAAAATCATTCTTCTTTGTAGCCTTTTTTTTTTAATCAGTGCTGACCGTCGATGTAATGGCTTGGCACTCTGAACACACACGTTCAAGGTTATGCCTACTCTTTTGCAGAACCATAACAATCACACTGCACAGTTTCTGTCGTTACAAAATTTACACCAAAGTATGATTGTTGTATTTATAATACAGATATCTGCATAATTACATGCAGGGAGCCTCATCTTGCCTGCGTGGACATAGGAGCATGCTCTTATCAGAGGTGACCGCCATGTTGTCTAACTGTCCTCCATTTTGTGGTTTCAGACCTTTACTGTAGTGTAGCACAGCTGCCCCTTCCACCCTTGCGAAATTATGCAGTCGTATCCCGATGAATCAGAAATATTGACGCTAATCCTTACTGATTTCATCTGGAATTATTGAGCTCTTGAACTTTTTTCCTCATGGACACATTATATTTCCCTTGTGTGATACTGTTGCTTATGTTGCTTCAAATGATGGTACTGTTACTGCCCTATAAAAAGCTGTTTAGAAACATCGTTTTGTTGTTTTTGTTTTGTTTTTTGGTAGATTTTTTTAGTTTGCACTGGTAGGACAGGGATGGTACATTTTTAGACAACACCGTACCAGTAGCTTGAGCTTATGATTAATAAATGTCATCTACGTTTTTACTACTAACAGAAGAACAGTTGTCCTCATATTAGCTGACAGCACAACAGGAAACATAAATGTAGTTCACATGGCAAATTTTCTCAGAACGAGAACAAGGTGTGTATGTGTGTAATTATGGCATCTTCCAAGCTTGTGGTAAAATTGAATCACACCCACAGAATCCGTTAAAACATGTTGTAGTACATTTTCTTTTGATATTTCTTTGATGTAATCCATCATAATTCTTATTTCAAAGTAGCAGATTTTTTTATTATTATTGTGTAATAGTTTGAAAGACACTTACATTTCACACAATAACAATGAAGAGTCAAGGTGGTTATCTTTGTTTGATTTCATTCTTTTTTTTTTTTTTGTTAAATAATATTCAAATATTAAATAGTTTAAAATATTATAATAATTGTTAAGTTGTTTATTTGCTACTTTTAATGCTTTTATTATTAAAAAAAAACGAATGCATTTCTTTATAGACTATTCAAATCTTATGCTGAATTTTGTCTTTAAATGAATAAATATTTTAAATTAATAAATAATAATAATTATTATTATTATTATCAGTTGGTGTCAGTCAGTTACCAGAGCACCGCTCATGTTTCTGTCAGTGCCGCGGCGAGCCATAAGGGTCATTAAGCGTCTTCTAATAGCAGGCAGAGGTCAAGGAAGTTAATCGGAGTTGATGGAGGGGCCCTCTGAGTGACAGTCCTAAGGGGCTCACCTCTTAATCTCTGTCTGTGTTTTAGTACTTTTTACCTACACAAAGCAAACAGCACCCTCCCTCTCAATGGGGACCAGCCTGCTCCCAGTCTAGCACTTCTGACCTGTGGGTCGTGCCCTTTGTTCCTGTCTCTACAGAGGCTGACCTCAGATTTCACCTCTGTAATTGAGGAGTCCTGTAGACACGTGCCCACGGGGGCCCAGGAGAGACCACCACCGCTGCAAGCTCACTGCTACCTCTGCGCCGGAGGAATGGGGTGTCTGAAAATATGATGTTGGCCGATCAGATCTTGCTATGGTTTTCTGATCATTTCCCAGCTGTTGTGTTTTCTGTCATGTTGTGCAAATGCTGCTTAATTGGCTTAAATATCTTCTACACATATACTATGCCTTCACAAATCCATTTGGTCATGTGTATGTGGGCATATTTTTTATTGAATATTAATTATTCTCTCTGTATATGTAAACTCGAGACCTTTTGCGAAAGATTTAGACGCTGATGGACATTTCAGATCTTAAACATGTTGCTTTTTCTGTGGAAGTACAACTCTCATTTGATGAACTAGGCCACCAACTAGGATGGAAATGCTTTTTAATCTGCGCCAGGCATTTCTTGTTGTGTTTTTTAATAAATGTTTTGCTTCATGGGAGTGTTATGTTGTCTATATTGAGACACTGCTGTTGTTTTTGTTTGTTTTTGCTGTCCCATAGCTCTGATGAAAGATTGTAGGTTAAAGAAGCTCATGTTATTAGTTTTTACTCATTGCCCTCCCCACAAAAGCATAATTATGGGAGGAAAATTGCAGCTCGGTGATGTGCATGTGCAACACATGGCTGCAAATTCCTTTGGGTGCTTTTTGAAGTTTTTCTAGTTGATTGTGCTGGAGACCCTGATGTTCATTCGGGAGGAAAAGAAAATATACTCTAAAGCTCCTACAGACGGTTATTAGGATCTGTGAGCTGGCGAATGGCTTTACATTGTTTACGTTCGTTTACTTCATTATTTTATTTTGTGCTTTTGACGTCCGCTTCAATCTCACATTTAGGTCTGAAAGGGTTAATGTGCATTTTCATATTTAGTAAGGTATTTTTTGACACATGCATTAATGTTTGGAGACCATTTTGTTCTCTTTGCTTCAGTTTTGATATTCGATCAATGTAATGTCATCAAAAGATAAAAATTTTTGTGAAATCATGTCAGATGCACTTATTAAATGTTGACATTTGGAATAAGTGATCAGCCCGCTGTGCTTTTTAACCTTGCGAAGACAGCGACCTTAAACCTCCTTGTAGCCATTATTGCTCTCTGGTAACTTTAACCCCAAAAAACATAAACGCTTTTCAAATCACATGAGAGTCTTTTTAAAATGATCTCAGCGATGGTGCATTAAAGTGCTCTGAGGTTGAGCCCTGAAAAGTACCATAAAGAGATTGTTTTGATTGGCGTTTGATCATAGTCTCTGAGCCTTGTGAAGGATGGGGCCTTACAGAACAGCTCACTGTTTGGGAGTTGGCAGCCGACCCAAAACCAAAATTGTATCCTCAAATGAACTTTAATGCAACGTACAACACAACACGTGCTCCAAGTCCCGACTCCCTGCTCGCAGGTCCTATAGTAAACAAGCAAGAAAATGAACTCCTGAGAATCAACAGAGAATGAGAAATAAAACCGATAATGTGTTACAAGAAAATGAGAAGCGCATTTTTTGATGCACACTTTCTCATGTGAGGTGCGCCTTACATACATATAACATATAACCGAGTATGTATGTGTGTGAGAGTGAGTGTGTGTGTGTATATGTGTGTAATGAGAGGTCAGTGCCATGAGGGAGCCAGGAAGAGGAGGCCGAGAATGAGGCAAGGAAATCTGGGCGGACCGGGTGCTTTCGGTCCCTCCTCCACATCAGTGTGTGTGTGTGTGTGTGTGTGTGTGTGTGTGTGTGTGTGTGTGTGTGTGTATCTGCGTGTGACAGCCTGATGAGCAGCAGCACCCTCAATGCAGCCATGTTCGCTGGTCGGCGAGCATGCTTTTATCAACTCTTTAGTTCACTAAATGCAGAAAAGGTTCGTGATACAGTCCGAGGAACAGGAGCTGGCCCTCACTAGCACGTTTTGGTATGTGTTTTTGCATTCTCTTACGGCTCGTTCGCAGTAGAGAGATCATCTGTTTGAACTTGTATTTAATCGCCACATTGATTAACCACAAAAAAAGTTTTGCACTCGACAGTACTGGCATTTTTACAAGAGCGCGTAATAGCCGCACAAAGAATTGTTGGTAAAATAAGCCACAGAATAATGAAATCATGAGTTTGTTTTTTGCATCCCCACCACCGGACTGCCTCACAAATTATTTCTGGTTCAAAAGGGAGGCTTGACGGAGGTGCACCCTAAAAGATCGAAAAACAAGATTGGCAGCGTGCTCTGCTAATTATTACTCCACCGGGCAGATTCTCAGGTAGGCCACGGCTGCAGTGTGTGTGTGTGTGTGTGTGTGT